ATGAAGAAATGATAAGTAACTATGGACGTTTGTTTCTGCCATGGGATAAAAAAAGAGAAAAAAAAGTCAGAATTCTGGCCTTTTTTCTGTCAATTCTGAGAAAAAAGTCAGAATTGTGTGGTGTAAACTTGGAACTGAAAGATTTAAATTAAAAAATGTAGACTTTTTTTCAGAATTGCAAGATATAAACACAGTTCTGAGAAAAAAAGTCAGAATTGTGTGATATCAACTCAGAATTTTTAGAAAATTGCAAGATACAAAATCTGAATGACAAGATATAAACTCAGAATTGTGAGATATTAACTCGCAATTCTTAGAAAACAATTATTCTGAAAAGAAAACCATGTAGACTCAGAAGATATAAACTCTCAATTCTGAGAAAAAAAGTTCGAATTGCGAGATATAAAATCAAACTTAAACTTGGCAGAAACAAGCTTCCATACTTAGTTTAATTTACAACTTCGAAAAGTAAATTTTTAAAGTGTAGCAGATCTATAACATTTCATGTTCATAAAAGTGACAAGGCTTTTCATATGATCCTTCCCAAATTTCCAGTATCAGTTGGAAAAAAACATTGCTTGTCAATGCATTTTATTGGCACTTTGAGCTTTGATATGAAACTCTCACCCATACAGAAACAATTATTCTGAAAAGAAAACCATGTAGACTCAGAAGATATAAACTCTCAATTCTGAGAAAAAAAGTTCGAATTGCGAGATATAAAATCAAACTTAAACTTGGCAGAAACAAGCTTCCATACTTAGTTTAATTTACAACTTCGAAAAGTACATTTTTAAAGTGTAGCAGATCTATAACATTTCATGTTCATAAAAGTGACAAGGCTTTTCATATGATCCTTCCCAAATTTCCAGTATCAATTGGAAAAAAACATTGCTTGTCAATGCATTTTATTGGCACTTTGAGCTTTGATATGAAACTCTCACCCGTACAGCACACACACACACACACACACACACACACACACATTACTTCCTCACAGAGTAATCCTGCCGGAAACGCAGAGGAAGTGTGATTACGCCCCGTCATGCATGCATGGATTATAACATGTAGATTACGGCGCAGTCGTGCAGGAGCAGAGCAGAAGAGGACGTCAGTGTGGGATTCACGCATGTTGTCCCCGCTCCTGTATGACAGGACAGATAATAATCCATGTCTGAACCGGATTGAGGGATTACTGTGGCCATCACTCGGCCAGTTAATTAACAAAACGGAAGTATCTGTGCTTCTGAATAAAGTCATTACTGGGTCACTGGGTGGGACAGGAATGGGGTTTTCCACAGGAACTTCAAATAGGTGGGAAAACAGAAGTCACACTGCATCATCATAACACATCCATATAATGCGGACCTTTTAAAAATATATATTTCTATATATGTATGGTTTGTTACATTTGCACACACTGGCATTCAATATCATGTTTTTAAAATTTGTAATTATGTTTATTATTTTCATTATTATATACTGTTTTATTATATTGCAATAGTTTTTCAGCAGTGGATCATGTTAGAATGATCACAATTTATTTTTATTATGTGGATCATGTTAGAATGTTTCTATTTTATTATTATTTGTTATTGTTTTCATTAGATTGCAATATTTTTTTCAGCTTTGGATGAAATGGCAACAACTTATTTTTATTTATTATCTTTAATTATTATTATATTTGATTGTTTTTATTAGATGACAATATTTTTCAGCTGTGGATCATGTTGCTAGAATCATCACAAAACACCTTATTTTAATTTTATTCATTATTTTATTTTTTTATCATTATTTGTTATTGTTTTTATTAGCGAGATGTTTTCAGCAATGGATCAAGTTGATAGAATCATCACAAACAATATATATATATATATATATACCGTATATATACAGTGTTGGGGAAAGTCACTTTTAAAAGTAATGCATTACAATATTGCGTTACTCCATAAAAAAGTAAGTAATTACGTTACTTAGTTACTTTTTATGGAACGTAATGCATTACGTTACTTTTGCGTTACTTTTAAAATCTGGACAGGGCTTGCTTGTTTGTTTTGAAAATAAACAAGTTCTATTTTTGGCAAATATAAAAGCCTTTTCACACCAAAAGTGAAATGAATAAGCCTCAGGCTGAAGGAAATGTAAATTTACGTCCGTACAGTAGAATGCAGAAGAAGACATTTCAACACACTTCAGCAATAAAAAAAGACACACAAATGTTTGTCTGGAGTCATTTTTGTTTATTAGTACGGTTGAACTGGATAATTGAAGCGCAGAAGCAAATAGAATGGGATTAAATACATAAAGGATATTTGTGATGTTTAACATTTAATTATTGCAGGTTTGCGTCATATTCTGAGTTGCGTTATTTTTATTCATTTTGAGGAATACTGAATCTGTGGGGTTTTTTGTGTGAGTGAGATGAATTAATGCATATTCATATTTATTTTAGAACTACAGTATCATCTTCTGATTTCTCTCAACATGGGGACAGGAGAGCTGTCAATCAATAAATTGGAAAAAAAAGTAACTCAGATATTCTCTTGTAAATTAAAAAGTAATGCGTTACTTTATCGCGTTACTTCTGTCCCCTGCAAGCTTTAAAGCAACACCTTGACGACCAGAAAAACTAACTCGGTCAGTCGCATTATTTCAAGCTTGTCCTCTGCCCTATGAGACAAATTGGCCCCTGAGGAAATCATACGTGGAGTAAATACAAGCCGAACTCGGCATCTTGCCAGTCTCAACAGACACGTCTGCCCATTCCATCAGTACACTAAATTCAGACCATTCCAGAATCCCTTGGGAAATCTGCATCCAACATTTTCTCACAAGGACGCAGTGATGCATAAATCCAGCACAAATGACACTCAGGGTTTATTTGGGTCTTTAGGGGAGATTAAACTATAAACTGGAGCTGAAGCCTGTTTGATTCATGTGTCTTTCTTTTTCAAACACTGCATCTTCATATTAGCCGGACATCTTTCCTCATGTGGATTTATGAACACTATTATGTTTTATAGATTAATTATTAGATCCTGAAGAAGCACTGTGGTGCCTGCTGAACACCATTACAATAAAACCATGTCAATAATGTCTCATGACATCACTAAATTAAGTCATAACCCTAATTACTTTATGACTAACTTTTCTCTCAACATGATCTTTCTCTGCATGTTTAGGCAAAGAGGGTTCGAAACAAAGTACACGTCTGTCATCTTTTCACATGTGATCTGCATGAAAAACTCATTAGAAGGCCTTATATTTATTGAAATATGCTTTCAATTAGTTCTTTGTTACATTATTTATATCATTATCAGGACATTTCTTCCCACAGTCAGCTCCTAAACTGTACGAGGCTATTTGAGAAGTAAAACTAAGCTAGATCAACAGCGACATCTAGTTTTCAAGCATTACAAAAGCTATAAGACAAAGAAAAGGGAGAGTAGGGTAAAATCATTTCCCTTCATTTTCGTCAGTTCATAAAATTAACCAGAAATCTGGAAAATCCCCAACTGTAAACTGTTTTTCTTATCACCTGAGGCCTAGCGCACAGCTGCTAATGAAACTCATAAACTGCAGGTAACCGCAAACATGTGTCATTATGCAATAGCTAGGTCAACTATTAAAGGCTTAGAAATATTTTTCAGCTTTTTGCATGCTCACATATGGAGATGCTATTGCTACTAAATATATTGTATGATTATAGTTGTCTGGTTAGGGTTTAAGTAGTAAACAAGTGTTAAGCACAGAATTTATCGGACTTTTACTGCAGTGGTTGTCAGATCCTTGATGGGTTCATGACTTCATACAGCAGCCACTGAAAGCTTTTGGGCCTGTAAGCACACTGAAGCATGTCCTTGTTAGCCGTAACGTATTAAAAGCATATCGTATCACACTGGGGCGAATTCTTTTTAAAAGAAAAAATGGCAAAAAATTCTAAAGAACTATTTAATATTAAGCTAACATTGGGTTGTGGTGATGAAATGTTATCGGAACATGATTCTACTACTACACCTGTGAACTTGTGGTGAACTTACTTCATGAGTTCAATAAAAAGCAACCAAATACCAGCTGATTAAAAGAAAATCAAACAAAAAATTCATTCAAGGATGAATTTGTTACATGCTTTTAGACTATTTAAAAACGGTGCAAAGTTCTCACAAAATGGTGTCTTCAACCAACCTTTTGATGCTTAAGACACCTGAAGTAATAAAGTAAACATGTAACAGTTTCTATGAACAAAGTGCTCATTTGCAACTCCACGCATGAAAGTTGCAGAAGAGGAACTTGCTGTACATTCTGAAATCTGATGCAACACCACAGACAAACAATTATATCGCCGTTAAACGAGTTATATTGCAATCTCAGTGAGTTTCAGGACTACTTAAGCAAGCACAGGCCTTGTGTTGACATTTTACAGATCGTATGATGGTAACAATTCTTTACAGTATGGAAGGAACTAAAAACGTGTCCAAAAGACATTACATACAAAGCGAAAATTATGCCTATTATACCCTCAAAATCTAAATAACATGCTGTTACACGGTGGATGTGAGTGGAAAAACAGCACTTTAAACAGATAATAAGCTCTTAACTGTACAGTGTTGGTGTAGTTTCCGGAAGGTTTTTAAAGAGCTAAATATAAAACCTCTTCAGGCTGAATGCATTTTACATTTCAATTATTCATGAGGCCCTTGTAAAGATGGCATATTAAATGACTGTTGATATTACGTCGTAATTTAACCAGAGCACAATCTCTATTAGGCCCAGAAGACACTCATATAATCATGCCAGTGTGAGATACTGGTGGTTATTTTGGTTCAAAACAACAGAATATGCCACTTTCATATAACATGCACACATTTCCATTCAGTTCATGTTTTGATAAAGTAGGTGTCATTTTATGCCTGAAAAACTAATATTGTGGTTTTAATTCAAAAGCAAACACAAATGACTTATTGGATTGGAAACAACAGAAATAAGTAGAAACTGAAGAGTTTTTTTTCCATACTTGCACGTCTTTTATTCTCTGTGGGGCATTTGTGATCCTCCACTACTCATATGCACCAAAGATTAATAGAGAGAAGAGAAACATCCAAAGGGATGTTAAATTGCGGAGAGTTTTGACCAGAGCATCAGAAAAGAGAACTTAATGGCAACAACTTGTGTCATTCAGATGGCAAATGAATAATTTACTAAAGAAAGATCAAAATAAAAGAAACATGAATGGCTTGACATGACTGGAAAATGAACACCAGTGTTGTCAAAAACAACAGAAACAAGCGAACATGGAAAATTTGTTGACTTTATATGATTAAATAGTGTAAATGGTTGCTAAAAAAAAATCATTTTGGACTGTGCAGCATTTCCCAGTCATTTAGCATGAGTATTTTACATACAAGTGATTTTCTGAGCTTTGAAGCATGTAAGTAAACATACACGGTGCATTGTAGCGAATACTGCTGACCTGAACATGCAACAAGAGATGCTTTCAGTGTCGGGTATAATTCCCAAATGTTTAGGTAGGGTTTCACTAAAAAAAAGAAAATAAACAAGAAACAGCCTTCATAAATTCATGTTATAAACTTCATGGAAGCATTAAATTATCAAATATTGTTCCTAAATGTAGATGTTTTGGAGTATCTGGAAGCATACTAGAGATCTGCTTTCGTGGTTGGAGTTTTGAACCCAAACGTATCGATATGAAGAATCAAATAAGTGCTCGCCTGTAGTCGACTATTCATCATCGCCGCCTTGTGGTGTTTCCAACATGGTTCATGCTTCTGCTCATCTGGGGAAAGTGCACATTTGGAGTCCTGGCGTTTGGACCGTAGAGGCCCAAGTTTCTGGCAGTGATGGACTTGCGAGGGGTTTTGATGCAAGGGAACGGGGAGAAGATCTGCTGTGGTTTCGGAGGTTCTCCTGCTGACATTGAAGGGCTACTTTTGAGTGAGCCTCCGCTTTCTGAGCTGAAGGAGTCTGAACCTGGACGGTGGGTGGATGGGAGCGGAGCTGAGGCCGTGGATTTGGGCTCTGGCTGTGGTTCATTTGGATTTGAAGCTGATTCTGGTGGTGGAGTTGGTGTAGGTACATCAGAAGCTGGTTCTGGAGATGATGTAGGTGCATCAGAAGCTGATTCTGGAGATGACGTAGGTGCATCAGAAGCTGGTTCTGGAGATGACGTAGGTGCATCAGAAGCTGGTTCTGGAGAAGACGTAGGTGTATCAGAATCTGCGTCTGAATGTGGAGTTGGATCAGAAGCTGCTTCTGATGAAAGTTCTGGTTCCAGTTCCAAAGAAGACAACTGCTTGTTGATCTCCTGGAGATCTTCTCCTTCTCCAGAGCTGTGGTCTTGCTGAGAGACATCTGGGCTTACAGTGTCCACCTTCTCTTGCTCTTCATCCTCACGTCTTCCCTCTTCAGATGCTTCTTCTGTTTTGCTCATTTGTTCGTCTTCTATCTCCAGAGAATCATCAAACCCAAGTTGCGCCCGTGCCCTGGCGATGTTCCTCCGATGCGCTCGCACATGTGTGCGCCAGGGCGAGTGATGTCTGGCCCGAATCATCTGATCCTGGCTGGGTGTGGAGTGGGCTTGAGGACCTTCACCGTTATGGACGATCCCGTTCTTTGAGGACCGCTGACCAGGTCTGGGCCTTCTGCCCAGGAGAAGATGGTTGACCACAGGGGAGGGACCGATTTGGGAGGGAAGGATACTGGTGGCTGGACACTTATCTGTGAAGAATCAATATCAATGAGTAAGAAAACACTAGTAATTGTAAACAGACTGTCAAAGTGGTTTCAAAGGCTGACAGTTTGTTAAAAGGCAATATTATTCTTACATAGAGATATTATATAAATTAGAGCCCGACCGATATAGCGTTTAGCCGATATTATCAGCCGATATGAGACTGTCGCCGATATATCGGTATCGTCGAATATGCCGCCGATATGAATTTTTTTTTTACAGAACATATAACGCAGATTAAATGCTGTAATGGTGTAATTACTTAGTTTGTCCAGCAGAACGCGCTCCATTGTTTGCTACTGGCGACCCAGGTCAGTGTAGAGATGTGCGGATGAGCTCAAACTTCACCCGAGTCCGCTGCTTCAAATAAATGATCCGCCTGCCACCCACCCGCACCTATATTTGATCGTCACATTACACTGATTCTAATTCTTAGTTTTGCATGATGATATGATGAATGGATGGCTTGTTTTTAAAAGCAGATTCAGTGACGTTAGAGACTAGAGCTGAGTATATACAGTGGGTACGGAAAGTATTCAGACCCCCTTAAATTTTTCACTCTTTGTTATATTGCAGCCATTTGCTAAAATCATTTAAGTTAATTTTTTTCCTCATTAATGTACACACAGCACCCCATATTGACAGAAAAACACAGAATTGTTGACATTTTTGCAGATTTATTAAAAAAGAAAAACTAAAATATCACATGGTCCTAAGTATTCAGACCCTTTGCTGTGACGCTCATATATTTAACTCAGGTGCTGTCCATTTCTTCTGATCATCCTTGAGATGGTTCTACACCTTCATTTGAGTCCAGCTGTGTTTGATTATACTGATTGGACTTGATTAGGAAAGGTAGGTAGGTCTTATAGGTAGGTCTATATAAGACCTTACAGCACTCTAAAAAATGCTGGGTTAAATAGGGACAAACCCAGCTATTGGGATGTTTTGACCTAGTGGCTGGGTTGTTTTGAACCCAACCGCTGGGTCAAAACAACTGTCTGTGAATATAAAAAAAAATACGATTTAAATACGAATGTTCTGCATGTTCATTTGATTACCAGAAAATACA